AAAAACAATAGCAATTATGATTATTCATGAACTGTTTTATGGGCCAGAAGTTATTACAGCTACGGTTATTATAACAGAAAATAGATATCCCTGTGGATGGATATGCCAGAGGAATCCATTTTTTGCTCCACTTCGGAATGGGTCACATTTTCAGGGCGATGAGGCTGCTTCCCAGTTTTTGGTATGTTGTGTCCTGATGATCAGCAAGGTCTTTTTCATAATAATTTGATGAAGACATATGAAAAAAGTGTCTACTATCATTATATTGTCAATCACATTAGCATTATATTTATAAGCTGAGGTTGTGATTGTATTTGAAGTTGATGATAATTGTGGTTTGTATTTGATGATAATGTCCTTTTACATTTAATCAACTTTATTGTTAATGAACCATTTTATGGTTTTTCAGTTGGCTGTCTGTTTACTTGGGTCCTGGGTCCGTTCTGGAAATACCTGAAAGGTGAGTGTTGTATGGCCTGGGAAGTGCCTCCTGTGCATGGCCTTTGGTGCATGGTGCATGTGTTGGGGAAGGGGGCAATACTGCCACCTGCATATCCTGCTACATGCCTCAAAGCAGGCAAGGGAAGAGTAAAGAGTGACTTGGGGGATATCCCTGGGTTGCATTAAACCTTGTCTCATTTGCCAAGATGCCACTAGCACATAAGGAATGTGTGAGCTTCCTTGGTAAACAAAAGCATGGCAATGAGGCAGTTCTCTCTAGGCCTGGAGTGGTTTGCAGAATCTCATACGGAGTTTTGGCAGAGCAACACGGATCTGTTCTACTCTCCATCAAAACTGATATTCAGTCAATTCTGAATATTTACACACTTAATATTTATTATTAGGATCAGCTCTGTTTTACCTGAATTGAAGTACCTGGATTTCAGTTTTAAGTTTTGATCAAGCTTTAATCAGTTTTACAAATGACTGCTATTAACCCAGATGATGATGATGTTCATGAAGCCTAAAAGTGCAATGACAATTTAGGCACAGCTATTTCTCCCTATTAACGTATGTCTCTATAGAATGTTGGAACGCACCACTTGTTTTTTAAAAATGTTTTGGTGTAAACTGTAATAGAGGTCCTTTCCGCATTTGCCTGCCACTCTAGATTTCCTCAGTGTTCGAGTTGAGGCAATTTAAGTCCAGGGCAAAACAGCATCCAAATAACCCGGGGCAACAGCAGGCTGAAACCGGGCTGACCACTGAAGAGAGGTAATGCAATGCAGAATGGGGGGGGGGGGAGAATAAAAAAAAGGTTGAACTAAATTTTAGTGCAGAATGGGGGGGGGGAGTGGGTTAAATAGAAGGTTGAATCCAATTTTAGTGCAGAATTGCTTGGAGGACACCGCGGTAAACATGGATTAAAAGGAGAGTGCAGAAACGCCCAGAGTCCCTGTCCCAGTTTTGGTGTCTCTAGTATAATGCGTTCAAGAGTTCAGCAAGACTTTTAAACCAGAACATGTCCTCTTGGTTGTTTTCCACTTCCTTTCTGGTGAGAGGGCACTTAAAAGTACATCTATACCACAGACCTAAATTGATCTAACAGGCATTTTCTCTCCCCGGGGAATCCTGGGAATCGTAGTTCTGCACTTAGGCTAAGTATTTCTCACAGAGAATTCTCAGCATCTCATCCTCCTCAAGCTACAGTTTCCAGAATGCTGTGCAGGAAAGCCACGACAATTATTTAGCATAAGCTACAAAGGTTTGTAGTCTAAAGCACATGTGAAGAGTACATTAAACATGTCTGTGAAAACATGCCTTCCTTAAATGTTGTAAACAGACGGAGGGGACGGTTTTCATTCTGACCACAGCAATTCATCTTCTGGCTACCCGTCCACACTTAGAACTTGTTGCCCGCAATCAAAGCAGAAAACGTATTATCGGATGTTACAGACCTTGATGCACACACCGTAAAGTAGTGCCCTGGGGTTCAACCTTGATCAGGAGTGACTCTCCAGGAGATTAGCATTTTATTATTATATCTGGTTTTAATATAGTATTTTAAAGTTGTATTTATTATCCATATGTAATTTGTAATTTTATCTGTTGTTAGCCACCCTGAGCTGGCCTTGGCCGGTAGGGCAGGATAAAAGTTTAATAAATAAAATAAAAACCTGGTCCTAATCCTCCAACAAACCTTCCACCTGGCCACTCCCCTGCTCTTTTGTATATACTAGGTTTCTTTATTCCCTGAATTCTGAACCACAAACAAAACCAGATACAACCTGAAGGCTTACAGTAAGACTGTGTACATGGCTGACTGAGAGCTGATGCCACATAGTGGTTAAGTCTGCAACCTTTCCTTGTGGCCCAGTTGTCCTGAATTCAAGTCCTGTCTCAGCGACAAAGGTTGCTATTGTGCACGAAGTAAGCACCACTGAATAAAATGGGATCTACTTCCAAACAGCCCTGTTTAGGATTTTTCACACTCTATCGAGGTTGTCTTACACACTAAACTCAATAGAAATAAAGAGATGGTTGCACATGTCCAACACTGACCAATGGCATTGATTTATGTGAGGATTACTGAACTAAGGCTGTAGGGTTGCCAAATGTTACTCGCCTCTCCGGTGGGGGACTCCTGTGTGGCTCCTGGAGCGTGCGTGTGCCGCATGCACGTCACAGGGAAGTGACGTCATGACACCGGGCATGCTGGGGGCGGGGCCACGACCATACAAGGGAAAACCATAGAAACCCCCAGCGTGCCCGGCGTCATAACGTCACTTCCCTGTGACGTGCACACTGGGGCGGGGTTCCCCCCGGGGCCCAATTCCCCAGCGTCTGGGAACGGGCCTCTGGGGCGGGGGGATTTCCGCCCCCCGGGGGGATTTGGCAGCCCTATAAGGCTGCAATCACACACACTAAATAATCCACTTCCAATACATTTTCAAAGTGGATTTTACTGTGTGAACTGGCAAAATCCAGTTTAAAAGTGCATTGAAAGTGGATTATTTAGTGTGTGTGATCACAGCCTGAGTGTGCAAATCGCTCCACTCAGCACCAAAAAGCATTCTTTGGATACAATATCATTATTGCTACAGGTTAGGGGTCTGCAAGGAAGCTCCTCCCCTGGTTTTCCATAAACTCTCATGGGATTGAGATTGATTTCTTCTCCCCTTCTTTTTCTCCTTTAACTCTCAGCTGCTCTCAACATTCTGTGCTCACGCCTCACTAGACTGGTTTTTTTTGAGGCTGAGATGTCTTTTTTTCTTTTGGTTTATTTATTTACTATTTATTTTATTCAATTTTACCCTGCCCCATCCCACAAGTGTGCTCTGGGAGGCTTTGCGACATACCAGTATAACCATTTAAAAGATTAAAACATAATGCAGTAAAAAATTTAAAATTCCATTTCATAAATAAATTAAAAGATGGCTGTGATCCGATTAAAGTGCTCTCAGCAAAAATTGGCCCATGTACGTGTCCTCAATTTTATTGCTTTTACAAGAAGTGGCAAAGTTCCCACAATCAGTAAATAAGTTTATACCTGTAGATAACACAGGAGATGGAGCAGGTGGGTAGGACAGGGGTTAATTTACAAATCTGTACTGTCCTACTTATCTGGGGAGAACACCAAGCACACAGATAATCAATTCCTCGACTTTGGGTTTTGCTACTTTTGTGTTTAGCAGCTGCTTTACAAATAATAATAATGACCTCTGTTGTTCTTGCTGCTCCTAATTGTTATGATTATGTACACCATTATTCTTTTACAAGCTTGGGACATCAGTAAGGAAGCTAGGGTTCCCAGCTCTGGGTTGGAAAATACCTGGAGACTTTGGGGGTGGGTCCAGGAGAGGGTAAGGTTTGGGGAAGGGAGGGACCTCAGCATGGTACAACGCCATAGAGTCCACCCTTCAAAGGAGCCATTTTCTCCAGGGGAGATGATCTCTGTCAGCTGGAGATCAGTTGTAAAAGCGGGAGATCTCCAGGCCCTACCTGGAGGCTGGCAACCCTAAAGGAAGCCCAGTTGGATCCTGTCACAGTGAGGCTATTGACTCAGTCTTTGCCATAACCCTGACTGTGCTGACAACCCCGTCCACCTGAATTCCACACTCAGGCCTTCTTCTTGCTAATGGTAATCTGAGTCTGGACAGTACCACATCAGAATGCAGGTGGGGGCTCACACACCTCCCAAAGGGTTGTAAACGGGACCAAACACCCCCCCCCCAAACCAAGTGAACTTTGGATTGTCCTGAACTAACTAACTGATTAGGAAAGCACTGAGATTACCCTAGAAAGGTGCCACTGCTATTTGCCCTTGCTTTGGACACATCCACAGATGTATATATATATATATTTAATGTCTCTTGGGGTTGATAACTTCTCCTTGTGGCTTCATAGGGAACAAACCCTCCCCTTCCCTTGGAAACTGAAAGGAAAAGCCACCTTTCCCCCCAAGCAAAGTGCCCTTCCTGGCTTTCCTCCACCTTCTCAAAGCAGGGGGTCCTTCAAAAGAGTCTACCTTGCCAATAGGCTGGGATGAAAAACCCCTGTTCCTTTAAGAGAGGTTGAATGTGTGAAATGGGCAGATGAAGCTTTTCATGGCAGGGAGGTCAACAGCATCACCTAGTAAATGACATCCTGTTAAGCCTCTATTAAAGGGAAGGGAGTTGGACAGTTTTCTCCAGGCCGTTGGCAACCATTGAAGAGCCCACAAGATATTGCCTTTGCATCTTTAAGGAGCCCCCATTCAGAAGCAGCTGCCTTTTATCCTTGCAACAGGTAGGTCAGGCTAAACACAGAGCAATTGCCCAAGATTACCCAGTGACCTCCATGGCTGAGTAGGGGCTGGAACCACACTAAGGTGCCTTGTAGAATATGCAGCAGTCCAGATGGCTCAAGCAAGTAAGCCAGGCTGCAAAAGGAGGCAAAACACACCCAGTCAGTGTCACAAACCAATCTGACCTACTTCATAGTTAGCAATAAATGCAACAAGGGGGAAAATTGGGGCTTGGTTTGAAGACAAACAGAAAAAGGAGAGCCCGGAGCCTTACCATCCATGTCCAGTCTCTGGATGATGACTTCCAGCTCTACCTCATTGGGCATGTAGCCAAGGGACCTCATTGCCGTGCCTAGCTCCTGCTTGGAGATGAAGCCGTTGCCATCCCGGTCAAAGACTTTGAATGCCTCACGTATTTCTGTAGGAAGAAAGAAGGAGTAATTTAGGCAACTGGGGCCTGCGATTCTCAATCCATGGCAAACCAGTGACTCTCTCCACTAATCTTGGATGAGTTATGGCATCAACTAGAGCCCTAACAGAGGCAGACCCAGCTTTGCTAATTATAGTAGGCTGAAAGAATTTGGTTTGCCAGCCTCCCATACAGGCCTAAGAGGTGTTTGCTTATGGCTGGGATTGGTGTCAATGCCAAGAGGAGGAAAACTGGACATGTGCTTATTTTAGTTGATTTGGGGGAACAACAGGCTCATCTGGTCTTGGCAGACTGAGGGGATGTACGACAGACACGCCTTCCTAGATCCCAGCTAGGGTTGCCGGGTCCCCCCTGGCCACTGGCAGGGGAAGGGGTTTAGGGTTGCCGGACCCAGGTTGGGAAACTCCTGGAGATTAAGGGGATGGAGCCTGGGGTGGGCAGGGACCTCAGTGGCGTGCAAGGCCATAGAGACTACCCTCTAAAGCATCCATTCTCTCCAGGGGAACTAATCTCTGTAGTCTGGAGATGAGCTGTAATTCCAGGGGATCCCCAGGTCCCACCTGGAGGCTGGCATCCCTAATCCCAGCTCTCTATTTCCTCCCCAGGGAGATCTGTCTGTCCACCTCTATCACTGTCTTCTACCAGCAAGTGAACATTTTTCTGTTTGGTTTGGCATTCTCTCACTGACCGCCTTCTAGATTACGTGTTTATTTGTTGTTTTAATTGTGATATAGTTTGTTTTAATGCTTTTGATTGCTCACCACCTTGCGCGTCCCAAATTGGGTGGAAAGGTAGCATTAAAATGTTTAAAATAAAATAAAATATATACCAGGCGTAATCTCTATTTTCTGGTACCTATCCCTGACAAAATGCCGTCCCTACTTTGTGTTTTGGGCAGGGCTTTTTTGGTAGAAAAAGCCCAGCAGGAACTCATTAGCATAAAAAGCCACACCCAACAGCAGAAACCCATTAGCATATTGGGCCACATCCTTCCAGGGGGCCCCCTTGCCCACCCACCTCGGAGTTGCCGGGGGGGGGGTCGCTCTCCAGTCCTTCCCTTTGTAGCCACACATGCAGAGGTTTTGGCTGTAGTGGGTGTGGCCAACTCTGAAGCCAGCCGAAACTGCATTCCTGTGCGTTCCTGCCGAAAAATAGCCCTGGTTTTGGGAAGATTTCAGAACGCTTGTACCTTAACTTCCCTTCTGGCCCCCCAGAGCTACAGTTTGCAGACAGTAAATCTTGCTGAATGTGTCTGAACCAGCTATTCCATAACATGTACTTCCAGATCTAGTGTGAGATTAAACATCCTATTAAACATTCATAGGGGGAGAGGGTATGCAAGAAAACTGTTATGGTTAATGTACTCACATACTACAGAAGGTAATGTAGGATAGGCAGTTGCATAATAAACGAGTACAGGAGACAGCAGAAGGGAAAGAACTTATCCCAATGACTTACTCTAACATTGTGTTGTTCTTTCTTTTGTAAATTACTAGTAATTTTAAAAAATTGTTTTAATGTTAATATATTATTGTATATTTTTGGTTTTATTCTTAGCTGTCTTAGAGGCCTTTTTGGCCAAATGGCAGCATATATCGCCCTCCTGACAGATAAATAAAACAAGCCCATGAAATCAAGGGCAAAGATTCCGCACCTCTGAATCCCTCTGCTGAGGTTACCCCTTGCAAAACCTGAATAATACAGATTAATTTAAGAGACCATAAGAAAATGATGCCTAACCCATGTCAGAACATAGCCCATACTTTATTAGAATATGCCATCCTTGTAATATATTAAAGTTGCTTTTTGCAGTTCTGGGACATCTCTTCTTCCCCGTGAGTATTTCTGCAATAAATGAATAAGCAACACTTCCTTGAAATAAGGAACGGGTGGTAAGACTAGCACATCTAGTCGAGGCTTGGAAGGCAAAATAGCTTCTCAGCTACGAAAGAATCCCTGCAATGGATGTTGAGGCCAGGCGGTGGCAGTGTGGCGATTGACATACAGATCCTGAAGCCTGGCCAACAAGGAGCCATGCGGAAAATGACGGAGCCAAGCCAGAAGACGTCTATACCGGGCAGTGACGACGCGTGCAATTAAAAATGAATATGTTGTCTTCCCTATCCCCTACAAACATTGTTAGTCCCTTGTCTATACTGAGTAACTGTACATCGCTTTGAGCCCACTGGGGAAAGCGATTAATAAATGGAAATTATTATTATTATTATTATTATTATTATTATTATTATTATTATCATCATCATCATCATCATCATCATCTCCCCAGATATGCCAGACCTCACAGATGGGTTTCTTACCCAAACATGACATGATGCTGGGAATTCCATGAAAGAACTTGGGAAGAAAATCATGATTTACATCTCACATCCCTAAGACCATCCTGGGAAAACCACCGTCTCTCATCCACACATATGCAACCTGGCTTACTTTGTATCTCATGGAACTGTTGCTCATCTTTCCATGAACCATTTTCAGGCACTATCATGGAGAAGAGGAGAAGGAGTCAAGTTTTACTTTGCTTCGGGTGACAATATACCTTGAAATGACTTTCCCCATGCATTTACTTTTTAAAGGGGGGGGGGACCATGTCTGGGACCTCATTTGCATAACTCCTGGCAGCACCTTTGGGGAACAACTGCATGTCCCAAATTGTTTTACATCCCTTTGTTCTTCTGTTTACATCATGGTTCATTATATGAGTGTTCCTCCCCAAGACACAAACTCTGAAAATATCTCTCTGATGTTCTGACCTGTCTATCCATGTTCCCAAGAGAAGTAAAGACAGACACACTCTGTTTTCCATATATCAACTTGGATTTTGTTGCTTAATTGAGTGAGTTTACATGGCTAACAGAAGATGCAATAATGTACATATACTGCCTAATTCATCATTAGTTATGTTAATATAATTGGCTATAAAACGGGATGTAATTGCCTTTAAAACCTCTCCGGCATGGACTGGACTTTCCCCACAGCAGAAGCTCTGCTGAGACTTGCTGGGTTTATAAAATGATTTTTTTTTGTTGCTTTGTAAACAATATGCCTCATATCTTGTTGATGCAGGGAAACAGAACAAAACAAAAATAAACCAAGGAGGAGTTGAGGATCCAGACGACTGAGGAGAAGAACTGCAAAACTTCTGCTGATTGGGAAAAGTAGAGAAACCTCTGATTGCAAGTCTTCTTAATTCCCCAGCTACAGCTGAGCTTCTGTCTCTAGCATCCCCAAACCCTTTCCAGTATGGCCGCATCTAAAAGTAAAGTGGCTGGCACAAGTGCCAATTACAAAAGCAGCAAAACCAGACCACCCACAGATACAGGGGGGCTCTCTCCATACTTGGGAGACTCTCTAAGCATGCAGAAAAAAATATGACTTTGTAAATTAATTTATAAACACCCTCCCTCCTCAAACAACTGTTCTAATGAGGGCTGAATATGCCACAGAAGGTTGAGAACAGCTGAGAATCATTTAAAGGTCAGAAAGGAGAGATGAGAGAATCTGGGAAGAAGGAATTTGGAGAGGGGGGCTGAGACTGTGATTCCTTACCATTCTTTTGTCCAATATTAATTCATTTTGCTTTTGCTCTGAATTTTCCTGTCCCTGGAATGAAGACCATTTCTACACAGATTATTTGCCCCAGGTTCAATGCTGTTGGGAAGCAGGTCTTGTAACATCTTGGTATGACGAGTTAGCCCAATTTTTTTTTAATGTGCAATTTCACCTCATCTTTTTCTTCTCTGATGATCGGATCATATCCAGCATTCCATTTCTGCAGCCGATGCCTCCAGAGTTTGGCGAGGAGGTTGTTAAGGTGATGCCCATCCCCTACTTTTGTTCCTGGCACCTAGTAAACGTCAGTTTAAATTTATAGGCTGTAAAACGTGTTGCTCTCAATTTCACTCCAGGAAATTGGCAATGAGACCAAGTGAGATGTCGGAAACAAATTTTTCACCTCGCTGTTAGAAAGCAGCTTAATTATACAAAGCCATCCAGGAAAAGTGGCAAACTGGGACTTATATATTCACACCCATTCTGCACCATTCTTAAAACCTCAGAGTATTTGGAGCATTTGAAGGTACCTTTCCCACTCTTCTGTCGCCCACCTCACTCCACCCAAAGGAAAAATTAATCCTATACTTTACCTTCCTTTTTCAGACTCTCTCTCACACACACAGAAACTGAAAACAAGTTGCCAAATCTCTTTATTCACTGTTTTCTTCCTTACCTAAATAGATCAGTAAACCATCCAAATCGCTGTCAGTTTCATACCAGTATAGGCCTTTAAAGATCAAGTCTTAGCCCTGATTCTAGGGTTGCCCAGACGACAGAGAGTCCACATATGCCCCCCCCCCGAGGTTGCGGTCTTCCACCCACTGATAACTGGCCATACTTAGTTACATCAATGGGCCGGATTCTCCCTATGGCAAGCATGACTACTGTTTTTATATGTTTTAATGTCTTTTAAATTTTATTGTATTTATTGAAATGCTGTGACCCGCCCTGAGCCTGTTGATGGGATGGGCGGAGATATAAATAATAATAATAAATAAATAAATAATAATAATAATATCTTTCGATTTATTAATCGCTCAGTTCTGCAGAGCTGCTGACTCTGAGCGATATACAGTTACACATATTAACAGGGGACTAACAATGATTCATAGGGGGTAAGGGAGGACAACATATAAATCTTTTAAGTCGCACACGTTTACAGTCGACGTTTTTTTTGTTCAGCTGTAGACTTAGACGTGTTCCAGACGGCATTCACTCGGCTTGGCTTGTTGAAGTCAGTTTTTCCAGGACTGCTTCGAGTCGCAGCGCCGCACTGCCCCCGCCTGGCCGGATTGGCCCATCGCAGGCTTCTTCATGCCGAAGAGATCTTTCCAGGTTTCCGAGCTTCCGAGCTAGACATTCGCCAGCTAACACCTCCCCCCACCAGGGGGGTTTAGTGTGCCCACCCTCTCTAA